TTTGGTGTATGGTGTGAGGCAGTAGTCAAGCTTCATTCTTTTGCATGTAGCGACCCAGTTTTCCCAGCACCATTTATTGAACAAACTTTCTTTGCTCCAATGCATAGTCTTTGCTCCTTTGTCAAAGATTAGTTGACCATAGATCTGTGGGTTTATTTCTGGATTTTCTATTCAATTCCATTGGTCTGTGTGTCTGTTCTTGTTCTAATACCATGCAGTTTTGATGATTATGGCTTTGTAGTATAGTTTGAAGTCTGGGAGTGTGATGCCTCCATTCCCTTCTTTTTTTTTCAGGAGAATTTTGGCTATTTGGGGTTTTTGGTGATTCCATATGATTTTCATCAATAATTGTTCTATTTCTTTGAAGAATAACATTGAAATTTTTATTGGAATAGCATTGAATCTGTATATTGCTTTTGGTAGGATGGCCATTTTAATCATGTTTATTCTCCCAATCCATGAGCAGGGGATATCTTTCCACTTCTTTGTGTCTTCTTCTATTTGTTTTAACAGTGTTTTATAGTTTTCTTTGTAAAGGTCCTTTACCTCATTTGTTAGATTTATTCCCAAGTATTTGATTTTTTTTTTGTTTCGATAGTAAAGGGGATTGTTTTTTTTTTTTTCATTTCTTCTTCTTCAGATTTATTGTTAGTGTATAGGAAGGCTTCTGACTTTTGCATGTTCATTTTGTATCCTGCCTGAACTGATTGACGAGTTTGCTGAAAGTATTGATGAGTTTAATTAGTTTTTCTATGGAATTTTTGGGGTTTCCTATGTAGATTATCATATCATCTGCAAATAGTGATAGTTTGACTTCTTCTTTTCCTATTTGGATTCCTTGGATGTCTTTCTCTTGCCTTATTGCTCTGGCTAGGACTTCCAGTATTATATTGAAAAGCAGTGGTGAGAGTGGACATCCTTGTCTTGTTCCAGATCTTAATGGAAATGCTTTCAGCTTTTCACCATTGAGAATGATACTGGCTGTTGGCTTGTCATAAATGGCTTTTATGATGTTGAGGTATGTTCCTTGTATCCCAAGAATTTCAAGGGCTTTTATCATGAATGGGTGTTGCACTTTGTCGAAAGCTTTCTCGGCATCTATTGATATTATCATATGGTTTTTATATTTCTTTTTGTTGATGTGTTGGATAACGTTGATTGATTTTCGGATGTTGAACCATCCTTGTGTCCTTGGAATGAATCCTACTTGGTCGTGGTGAATTATCTTACGGATACACTGTTGGATTCTGATAGCTAAAATTTTATTGAGGATTTTTGCATCAATGTTCATTAGGGAGATTGGCCTATAGTTTTCTTTTTTTGCGTTGTCCTTGTTCGTATTTGGTATTAGTGTAATGTTGGCTTCATAGAACATGTTAGGTATTATACCTTCCTTCTCAATTTTTTGGAAGAGTTTGTGAAGGATAGGCACCAATTCGTCTCTGAATGTTTGGTAGAATTCATTTGTAAATCCATCAGGTCCTGGGCATTTGTTTTTGGGGAGGTTTTTGATTACCATTTCAATTTCGCTAGTTGTAATTGGTCTGTTTAGATGATCTATTTCTTCTTTATCAAGCTTTGGGTGATTGTAGAGTTGTAGGAATTTATCCATCTTGTCTAGATTGTTGAATTTGTTTCCATATAACTGTTCATAGTAGTTATTAATTATTCTTTTGATTTCTGCTGTGTCCGTTGTGATTTCTCCTCTTTCATTTACGATCCTGTTTATTTGTGCTTTCTCCCTTTTTTCCCTTGTGAGCCTGGCTAGGGGTTTATCTATTTTATTTATTTTTTCGAAGAACCAGCTCTTGGTTTCATTGATCTTTTGGATTTTTTTTTTAGTTTCAATTTCATTTATTTCTGCTTTGGTTTTTATTATTTCTTTTCTTCTACTGGTTTTGGGGTTTTTTTGTTGTTCTTTTTCTAGATCTTTGAGCTTCGAGATTAGGTTGTTTCTTTGACTTCTTTCTTGTTTCTTGATGTGAGCATCTATTGCTATATATTTTCCTCTTATTACTGCTTTTGCTGCATCCCATACATTTAGGAAATTGGTGTCCTCCTTGTCATTCAATTCAAGGAATATTTTAATTTCTTCTTTGATTTCCTCGTTAGTCCAGTGGACTTCCAGTAGTGTGGGTTTCAATCTCTATGAGGTAGGAGAGTACCTTGCCCTTTTTTTTATGGTTTATTTCTAGTTTGATGCCTTCATGGTCAGAAAAGATGGTTGGTATGATTTCAATCTTGGTGTATCTGTTGATGTTTGTCTTGTGCCCCAGTATGTGATCGATCCTGGAGAATGATCCTTGTGTGCTTGAGAAAAATATATACTCAGATTTTTTTGGGTTTAGTGTTCTATAGATGTCTGTTAAGCCCAAGCGCTCTATATCCTTATTTAGAGCTTTAGTGTCTTTACTTCTTTTTTCTCTTGTTGATCTACCCTTGTTGATAATGATGTGTTGAAGTCTCCCACTACATATGTGTTTTCTCTGATGTCTGTTTTCAGAGATGCCTATAGTTTTCTGATATATTTTGGTGCTCCTTCGTTTGGTGAATATATGTTAATGAGTGTTATTTCTTCTTGAAGCATTGTCCCCTTGATCATAATTTAATGACCACTGGGGTCTCTTTTTATCTTTTTGAGTTTGAAATCTGTTTTATCTGATATGAGTATAGCTGTTCCTGCCTTCTTTTTTGTCCATTTGCTTGTAGAATTGTTTTCCATCCTTTAACTTTGAGCCTATTTTTATCTTTTGTAGCTAAATGTGTTTCCTGGAGACAGCAAAAGGTTGGGTTTTTGTTTCTTAATCCAGCCTGTGACTCTGTGTCTTTTTATTGAAGAGTTTAGTCCATTTACATTTAGAGTTAGTATTGATATGTTAGCATCTGTATTTGCCATTGTGTTTGTCTTTCCTTTGATTTTATTTATTTATTCTTTTAATAACTTTCTTTGGCCGCCTTTTGTTGTTATTCGTCCCTCTGAGGTTCTGGCTTTAGGACTCCTTGTAGTATTTTTTGGAGTGGGGGTTTAGTCGTAATGAAATTCCAGAGTTTCTGTTTGTCTGGGAAGGTCCATATTCTTTCTTCATAGAGGAAGGAGAGCTTTGTGGGATAGAGTATTCTTGGTTGGCATCTGTTTTCTTGGAGTCTGTTGACTATGTCCCTCCACTCTCTCCTTGCCTGTAGTGTTTCTTCAGAGAAATCTGATGTCAGTCTGATTGGTTTCCCTTTGAATGTTATCTGTTTCTTCCCTCTTGTCAGTTTCATTATTTTTCCTTGTCCTGGATTCTTGGGAGCTTTACTATTATGTGTCTTGCTGTATTTTTTCTTTCGTCATGGAAGTTTGGTGTTCTTCTTGCTTCTTGTATATCAATTTTTAGCTCCTTCTTCGCGTTTGGGAAGTTCTCTTCAATTATATCCTTGAATATTTTCTCTGTTCCTACATCTCTCTCCTCTCCTTCTGGGATTCCTATAACTCTTATATTTCCTTTCCTCATGGAGTCAGATAGTTCCCGAAGTCTTTCTTCGGTCTTTTTCCTTCGTACTTCTCCTTCCTTTTCTATTTTAGTTCTTTTTATTTCTGTGTCTTCAAGAGTACATATTCGTTCTTCCATTTCATCTATTCTGCTTTCATTGCCTTTCCCAGAGTTCTTTAGTGCCTCCATTAATTCTTTGATCTCCTGCATTTCTTTTACTTCCCTCTTTAGGGACTCAATTTCATTCTTCTGGTCATTAATTATTTTTCCCTTATCATTGTTTTCCTTTATGACTTCTGTCAGTTTTTTAATCACAGCAGTTTTAAATTCTCTATCTGGAAGGCTCAGAAGTTCTTCCAACTTACTGTCGTTGCAATCTGGTAGATGGTTTTCTTTTTGTCCTGTGCTTTTTTGCTGAGGAGTTGCTGGGTTGCATGTGGTTTTTCTATTCCGTACTGCCTGTTTTCTAATTTGCCGTATTCCTTGTGACACTGTGTTGCTGGTACTGGCCGGCATCTTGGGCGACCTTCCCAGCTCACCTCTGGCTCCTCTGGGGGACTTCTGCTGGTTTCACACATCCTCCACCAAAAAAGGTCCCTGCTTGCAAATGCCGGTGCCGGGGACGCGCTCCCCTGCATGCCCGGTCTGCCCCAGCGGTGGGTGCTGCTCCCCTCTGGGCTGGGACTGCAGGCTAGAAGGCGCCTGGCATGGGCAAGCCTCCCAGCTTACCTCTGGCTCCTCGGGGAGCCTTCTGCTGGTTTCACAGTCTCCACCAAAGAAGGTCCCTGCTGCAAAATGTCTTTTTTTTTTTCATTTATTGCCTATTTAGTTTAGGTCCCTTGGTGAATTCTCTGTGAACAAATTAATTTGTTCCTCTGCCAGATATCCTAACCCATGCTGCTATCTGATTAATATTCAGGATGTCCAGTTGGTACTTGCATTGTCATGGAAAAGACCGTGGAATAGGAGACAACCTGTGTTCTATTCCAGCTCTGCAAGCTAATGCATGGAACCTTGAATGCCACATCTATAAAATTGAGCTAATTTTTTGTTTGTGGAATGGTTATGGATATTTTCATGGTGAGAGGTGAGAAAGCTTATAGTGGGTGGTCAAAAAATGCTTAAGACTCTCTTAGGAGTATAATTACATACTTTAGATCTTTCAGGCTTTGGATAGAATAGACTAGAGAACATATGAGTTAAAACATGTCTTATACCTTAAAAGGTGGAATTCACTAAGTTGCCTTCCTTTCTCTTCAATGTATCGCCTCAATTGCTGAAGTCTTCTACTGCATGTCTTATCATTTTTTAACTTCATTAAATGTAAGTTACTACCTGCCTGAAGCACTTCTCTGCTTTCTTCCTATCTGCTCTAAGAGAGATGAAGAAATCAATATCATTTTTTAACTTCATTAAATGTAAGTTGCTACCTGCCTGAAGCACTTCTCTTTGCTTTCTTCCTATCTGTTCTAAGAGAGATGAAGAAAACAAAAGACAGCAGTGTTGACCTTTCTCCTTTCTTTGCAGATTATTCCTCAGCTGTTCAGAAATTTTCCCAGACGCTGCAGTCCTTTCAGTTTGATTTCATTGGAGACACTCTGACAGATGACGAGATTAACATCGGTAAGCCTTCAAACTACATGTGACCAAGTGCCCGTTGAGACATGTCTGAAGTCATGCAGCCTCTTCGGATTGTGCAAAACAGAGAACTTGGGCATTTTCACAGCCTGGGGCCCAGGATAAAACCCTAGGAGATAGCTTAAGAAGAATACAGACAAATTCCTTGTTGGTCCATTTACTTCTTAAAAGCAATCAAAAGATCTGACTTCTACCTTCACTGAAGTCTTTTGACTCAGTGTGCAGGGATATTTTTTTCTTTAGAGAACCTAATACATAAAAAAAATAGATATTTTTGAGGAAGATAAATTCAAGACTGATGATCTTTATTTCCTACAATGATTCAGAGTATGATTCTTCTAAAGAACAAACTCCCTTAGAATGTTTAAAACTAGCCTTTTCAAATGTTCACCTTTCCAGGCAGCCAGAAATTTAAAATCTCCCTTGGGAACTGAATTTAACACATTGCTTTATAAACTGTGTGATCTTGGATAAGCTATTTCTTTTCTTTGGGACTTAGACTTATCCTCTGTAAAATGTGGTTAATATTTGTCTTTCAAGGATGCTGCAAAGAGGTAGATTAGGCAGTGGAAATAAAAAGAACTTTGCATTGTATTAGTTGTTATGAAGTTAAAGTGACATCGGCAAACTGTAAGACTTTGGGCTCTGAGAGATATCCTGCCATTATCTTTTTTTGTAAATAAACTTTTGTTGGAATGTACCCACACTTATTTCTTTAAGTACTGTCTATGAATGCTTTTGTAGTACAAGGACTGAGTGGTTAGAAAGTCTACAATATTTGCCTTCTGACCGTTTAAGAAGACATTTGGTGACTTCTGAGTTAAAGCATTACTGAAAAGCACTTACTTTATGAGTACATTAAATACTAGCACTGTTGTGAATGATGTAATGTTTCTGAAATAAATTAGAAGATAGTTTTATTTATGAACTCCATAACTAAAATGTATTAATGTAGTGTTATTAATAAATGTTCATTGTAGTATATATGGGTTATATATAAAAGTATGAGGTTATCTGTGATAAGATATTTCTGCATAAATTGAGTCCCTAGAGAGGGAAAACAATGGTCAGAAGAATGAAATTGAGTCCCTAAAGAGGGAAGTAAAAGAAATGCAGGAGATCAAAAGAATTAATGGAAGAACTAAAGAATTCTGGGGAAAGCAATGAAAGCAGAATAGATGAAATGGAAGAACGAATAAGTAATCTTGAAGACACAGAAATAAAAAGAACCAAAACAGAAAAGGAAAGAGAAGTACGAAGGAAAAAGAACGAAGAAAGACTTCGGGAACTATCTGACTTCATGAGGAAAGGAAATATAAGAGTTATAGGAATACAAGAAGGAGAGGAGAGAGATGTAGGAACAGAGAAAATATTCAAAGAGATAATTGAAGAGAACTTCCCAAATGTGAAGAAGGAGCTGAAAATTGATACACAAGAAGCAAGAAGAACACCAAACTTCCACGACGAAAGTAAAAATACAGCAAGACACATAATAGTAAAGCTCCCAAGAATCCAGGACAAGGAAAAAATAATGAAGCTGGCAAGCGGGAAGAAACAGATAACATTCAAAGGAAAGCCAATCAGGCTGACATCAGACTTCTCCGAAGAAACACTACGGGCAAGGAGAGAGTGGAGGGACATAGTCAACAGACTCCAAGAAAACAGATGCCAACCAAGAATTCTCTATCCCGCAAGCTCTCCTTCCTCTTTGAAGAAAGAATATGGACCTTCCCAGACAAACAGAAACTCCGGAATTTCATTACAACTAAACCCCCACTCCAAAAAATACTACAAGGAGTCCTAAAGCCAGAACCTACAAT